AAAAAGATCTCCAATATGGAATGACAAAACTGTGACAAAAACTAATGAGCATTTTCATCCAAAAGGCTAAAATGAAAATGCGGGAGGCCTCAAAAATCAACAGTGGAAGGATGTCGCCTGGCCAGCCAGACTGACTTAGACATATCTGCCTGGAAAGGAGCTGATAGGATCAGGGCGGCACTAACAGACTCATTGGAAACAGATTAGAACCAATTAGTTATCTAAGCATTTGATGCAAAAATAAGAGAAGCTTTTATAGCAGCCAGTTGTTCAGATTTTAAAGATTTACCCCAATAATTCAGGATATAATAAAGGCCATCATTAAAAAAAATAAACCTCCATTGCAGCTCTATTCCTGCAGAGAAGCTCTCTGTATTGAATTAACATGGTCTACTGTAAGTCAGTGTGGCGGGAAGAATGGATGGATGGATGGACAAAGGGAAAGACGGATAAAAGAATGAGCCAATAAAAAAGAGACAATTGCTCATACTTTTTCAGACCTGTATTATTCATAAATGTTAACGTTTAACTTGTCTACACCCAGTGATGAGCTACAACCAAGCACAAAGGTGGCTTTTTAGTTATTTTATTAAAATAACGGCTAAAATGTCAAAAGGAAAATGTTACAAATAGGTTGAAAAGGTCCTTCAATTATTCTGTAAATATCATTTAGTTGTTTCTTTTTATATAATTGATTTATGTTAGTTTGAAAAATGAAAAACTGACACTTTTGACTTAAACAACCTAAAGAATCATATGTGGATATTTTTTATTACCTCCTCAGACTGAGCAGATTCTTCAAATTTAGGGGTTTTCCTGAATATTCCGCTGAATATTCCTCCTTTTTCCTAATAACAATAAAAAATAATAATTAAACAAAACTTGCAATAGGAGGCTGTTTCATTGGGAACCATTCCTCCCCCATTCACCTGCAGATGATACAGATACAATATTCATATAAAGATCTATTAGGTTTTGCTGCACAGAATCTGGAAGACCCAATATTGGGAAATCTTTGCACATGTTTAAAATTCCCAAAAGCCCTTAATGAACGATGTGAAGATAAAAACATTCCCAGCGATAACTTTAACAATTAAAGGAAGAGAATAGAAAACTATGGAGCCTTTAATGTTTGGTCTAGGATGAGGATATTCATTTCAAAAACAACTGCAGGTAAAAGTTGCTGATATGTGTGAAGTAAAGCTTTCCTCCATCATACA